TCCTCCCTTCCTACACCCAGAACCCAACAGCCTTTCCTGGGGCCGCGTGGCCTGGTTTCTCTTTCGCACTTTCTCCGTCTTCCGAGTTTTGAAGATACGGTCGTCGATAAAACACTGAGCCACACAAGCATGCAGATTGCCTGACCAGCAGTGTCGTTCCTGGGCTGACCCACGCAGAAGTCGCTCCGGTGACTCCCGAGACACGTACAGAACAGGCTCAGAAAGAGCCCTCACGCCCTTAGGGTGAAATTTAAGTGACCAACTAGCGGAAGTTACCTGGCGAGCAAAGGCGCGGGGACAGAGGGGAACTGGCGCTGTGGTGGAGGTGACTGTGGTCGGGCCTGCGTCCTGGGGGGGGGGGGCCGCGTCTGACGTGCTAAGTGAAAAAAGAACAGAGAAGTGAGTGCGTGGCACGGCTGACACTATAGGCACGTGTGGACGCAGGAAAACGAGGGGGAAAAACCCCGCAAGGCTGCCTGCGTGCCGCGGGCGGGACCCGCCGCCTCCTGCCCCAGTCCCCTCGCGCCTGTGCTCCGCCCCCGCCCTTGGTCAGGAGAGCGGGCCTTCGCTGTGAGAACTGCAGGCACTTGCTGATCCTCGCGGCTCACAGCGCCATGGTTGGGAGTAAAGCGACGGCGACACTTCGATCTCCGGGAACGGAGAGCTGTGAGAGCCATGACCTGGCTCGTGTACAGGTAGCAGTGACGGGTGTCACGACAAAGTCCTGATCAGCTGGGGTAACCGCGGGGCTCCCTGTCTGATCTGGGACACTGGGGAGGGTGCAGTGCTCATGGTTAAAACCTACATCAGAAAAATCTGCACGACCTGTCCCCGGAGACCCGGACACTGGGGACACACCAGGAGGCAGCGTCGCGCCTGGTGGAGGGTCCGAGAGGTCACGTTTGACCCCGACTTGCAGGACACACAGGTGGACGCCAGGTGGACCAAGAGACAGGGGGAGAGAGAGGCTTCGGGTAAGAGGCGGCAGGTGGGGAGCTGCTTGTGAACCAGACAGCAGGCAGGCCGCCCCCAAGCACTTCTGGCTTCTGGATATTGGACGTCGACAGCCATTGTCACCTCGAGGCCTCTGGGAGAAAGAAGGGGATGGGGATCTCAAAACGGGGGCTTGGGAGGCACTTGGGTGCCACCTAGCCCGGCCTCGCCTTGGCACCAGCCTTCATCGTGCTTCCTGAGGAACGGGGTCTCCAGCCTCACCCGCTCTGTTCCCGAGGCACACGGCTGATGCCGCCAGGCCCCACCGCCCTGTGCTGCTTTATTGCTAGAAAGTTCCTTCTCCCATGAATTTTAAATCTGCCACCCTCTCGCTTCTACCCTGTGTAACACGTGGTGTGACTGCGTCGAGGACTGAGAGGAGGAAGGAAAGGTGCCCAGGCTCTATGATTATTTACATTAAGACCCGAGAAAGTCTACAGACATCTTATAAATAACAGGAGAGCTTATGATGTCACTGCATGGAAGGGCAATGCACGGACGTCAGCAGGAGCCCGGCCCTGGGAGGTGCCAGTGAGAGTCGAGCCTGGGAGCAGGCTGGGGCGGCAGAGTCCCGGGTGGGACGGCCGGGAGCCCCGCTCACCGTGCCCTGAAGCCCGGGGAGGGGTGGGCAGGGGCAGCTTCCCCACTGTCCCGCTTCCTCGGCCATCCCCCATCCCCCACTGCCCGAGGCCTCTTCCACCCCGGAAGGCCCTGCCTGGGAAGGACACGGAATTCCTCAGAGCTGGAGAATGCTGTGACCTTTGGGGACAGGACAAGGTTTCTAGGGCCTGGATTCCCGCCTCCAGCTCCAGATTGGGATTCCCAAGACAGGGGTCCCCAGGGGAAGCTCCTTTTAAGGGCAGAGCTGCCTGGGGGCCAGTGGGGCCATTCGTGGGGATGGGGTGGGCTCTGATGGGGACAAGGCCGGCCCGGCCGATCCAGGGGCCGGAGGCTGGGAGGCTGCACAAATCCCGCTGTCCCTCTCCCCAGGGGCCGGGGACAGTGTCCAGAACCCCGGGGGAGGGTGGAAGTGGGCAGCAGCTGTCACCAGCCTCCTGCACTGCCCACGGCCAGCCCTTGTCCCCGCCCTCAGAGGCCCGAGATTTTTCAGGGAACATACTGGATTCCCAGAGCCATGACTTGACTTGCAAACACTTCCTTCCGGCCCAGAGCGGGGGGTCACGCTTGCATCTTCCATTCCTCTGTGTGCTCAGCTGCATTTGGTAAGCACAGCAGAGCTCTGCTCCGGCAGCTTCTCGCACAGACAGGGAGGGGCGGGCGGCAGCCAGCCCACACCCCCCAGGGGTGTTCGTGCCCCCGGGAGAACTCGCCCGCGTGCACACTCACCCACAGTCCGCACACACTCGCGCCCTCACGCACGGCAGCCCCAGTTCTCCGTGGGTCTGGCCTCTAGCTTCCAGGCACCTTGGAGTGAACGGTGAACTAGAACAGGAAGTGGTGAAACCCGATGGATTGGGAGGTTGCAGAAATGGCTTGGTGTTTGCGGGTGGAGTTCTAGAAAGTTCTAGAAAGATTCAAACTTCAAACTGACTCAACCTTGGCTCCACGGGGAACACAGGGCAAAGCCCCATCGCACTTTTATGTTTAAAATGTTTCTGTTTGAAGCCTCCTTATTTAACGTGTTGTTGATGTGGTAACATGACTTCCCCTGAAAGAGGCCTGTCGGGCGTGCGACTTCTCCGCCGGGTGTATCCCTGTCCTGGGGCCCAGACGCTGGCAGCATCTCAGCACCAGGCCTGCGGCCCCTTTTTAAAATGAAACCGCCGGCAGACGTGCAGACCCCAGGCACGACCCAGCCTGAGAAGGATGTGATCCACGGAGCTGCAACAGGCGGAGCCGGCCCCCCAGCCTCCACCAGGGATGCCCCCCGGGGGCTGGCGCTGTCCCGGCCCCGTGCGGTGACCCTGCCTGGTGACCACGGGGACACGCAGCACTGGCCTGCAGTTGTGCTCAGCTTCAGGGAGGAGGCGAACTGGCAAAGGCAGAACCTGCGCGTCAGGGAACTGAGTGCTTTCCTTAAGGGAAGACTCAGAGGTGAGAAGGAACGCGAGGACAGCCTCAGGGAAGGCGCGCTTCCGGCAGGTGTTGGCTCCGCCCCAGGGTCCAGGGCTGCGGGGGCCCAGTCTGATGGGTCCCGGCACGGCTGCTCCGACTACACGGAGGCTGCCGTCAGGTTCTCCAGGAAACGGACTTGGGGCTCCACCCGCCCACAGGGTCGGGGGCCGGGGCGCAGCCGTCGGGGGCAGGCAGGGACCTGGGCCTGGGCCGGACACGCTTCTTGTGCAAGTCACGAAGCGAGTTTCCACCCGTGTGCAAACTCGTGTGGTGCGGGGTTCGAGCACCCTCAGCCCACCGCGCGCTGCGTGCCCCCGGAGGGGAGGGTGCTGCAGAGGACAGATCTGTCCCCAGTGAGTCATCTGTGCGTCCCCTGAGAGAGCTCATTTAAAAATAGTCAGGACTTTCTCAAGGTCACAGTTACTCTCGAGGTCTATTTTAGGGCAAAGTCAGATCTGAGATGCAAGCACGTATGGGACGTCTGCAGAGAAGGCCCGCGACCCTTCCCAGCGCTGCGCCCTGGTCGAGCTTTCTGCCTTTAACGTCCTTCAGAACCACACCTTTTATCTGCAGAGCACTTCGGAGCCGCCACGTGGAAAGAGGATAGAAAGCATGACGGTTCAAGGTCTTCCTGCAGAAGGACAGCCCAGGTGTGTCCCCCACCTGGCCTCGCACACCTGACAGAGCCCCAGCCTGGAGCCGGGGGGGCGAGGGCAGCTCGGGTGGCCGCTCCAGGCCGCCCCCGACTGCACGACTGCCTGGAAGCCCTGACTTCTGGCCGGAAATCCCTTCTGAAAGGATGTGCCTGACCCCGCGGAGCCCGTTCCCAGGGACAACCTTGCTGCTGCGCGTGGGGGGCTGCACCGGCCTGGATTCCTCGCATAGCTCTGCTGGGAGCCCGGAGCAGGGGCGGGGCTTGGCACTCGTCTTCCCCACGGCCCAGGGCTCCTGGGAGAACACTTCTGTGCGTTTTAAACTTGCTCCTGCGCCCCCGGCCTTGGGCCCCCCACCCACACCGCACAGTCGGCCTCGCTGTGATGCAGAAATGGATACATTCTGGGGGAACCAGCCTCTGTGTAGGAAGTCGTCCCTCGACTTTTGTTACCACTCTTTTGCAACAAAGTCGTCCCTTTCTGTGGAAAGAGAAACAGCTCGCGCAGGGCAGCGTCGGTCTGCACCTGAGCCAGCAGGCCTGGCGGGCAGGCAGGCTCGCCATCACCTCTGAAGCTCCAGGGACCGTCCGGCGCATCTCCCTCCCCAGCAAGGCGGCCGTGGGCACCTCCTGGCTGTGGCCTCTGCGGAGATGGCCACCCCGGGTGGCTCACCGGCCGGGGTCCCTGAGGAGCACAGGCTGATTGGCCAGGGTTTCAGGCTGACCATATAAGGTCACGTGGGGGCAGTGGCCCCATTCCTGGGAGTCCCCCTCCCCCAAAGTAGTTGAAACAGTCCTCCCTGTGTCAGCGCAGGGAGTTGCTCAGTCGATGAAGGCCGGCCCGCCCGCGCCTCCCAGCTTCTGGCCGCCGCCTGCAGAGACGGCCGCGCTCTGTGCGGGCTGTGCGCCTGCCTTCAGCTACCCTGAGCACCCGCCCTGCAGCGCGTGGCCGTGCGCTTGCCTTCGGACACAGCCTGCACTCTGTCTGGGTGGGTGTGTCTCTCTGAATACACCTACCTTTACTCACCTGTGGCTCCCCCTTGAATTCTTTCCTGTGAAGCCAAGGACCCACGCTCAGTGGGGCGTGTCCCAAGGGCCCCACCGAGACCTGGGACACGGCCCTCCTCACGCCCCACACTGTTCCTGTGTCACCTGCTCTCCCTTTAGCTCTTTCCGAGCATGTTTATCATGAACAACTGACCTCAGAGGTGGCCGCAGACACTTTGGGGCTGGGCCACGATGGCTAACCCAGCCCATGGCTTGGCCATAGTCACCACAAACAGAAAAGGGCAGAGCCCAGGCCAGTCCCAGGTCTCCAACTTCCACCCTCCCCCATGTGGACGCCTGGGGCTGCAGCCTGGGCCCTGGTGGGGAGGGTGGGCGCCAGAGAATCGGTGGGTGGTTCTGCTGAAAGCCTGTGGTGAGGAAGGAAGGCATATGCGGCCAGAGTTTCCTGCGGGAGTTGGAGACAATGATGGCTGGCTGCTGGCAAGTTTGCCTGCCCCGGTGAGCCTGGTCTGACCCCAGCGCATGACTCGGGGAGGCAGGGCTCCTCAGGCCCGGCTGAAGGCGCCTCGGACAGTAAGGAGGCGTCTGTGACTCCAAACACAAGTTTTTTTTTTTTGTCTTTACCTAGAAAGCACATTTTGTTATGGGAAAATGAAACCAGAGAATTTGTTCCACTGAGAGCTGAGGGCAGGTGAACAAAACAACGTACAAGCTGGACCCTGGGCAGCGGGACAGCCCCTCCGCGAACGCCCTCGTCAGGTGTGCACATACCTGCACCTGCCACTTCTCTGAGGGACCAGCGCCCCAGGCAACCGCTCTGTAGTACGGGAGGCCCGGCGTGCCTTCTTCATCGTTCAGCGTTCCCAGACTTTCTGATGCTTGCGTCCTCACCCGTGCTTCTGTTGGCCCTGGTTTTACCCGAGGCAGAGAAATCAGACCCCTTCGTTTCTGTGATCGAGACGCCCAGTCCCTATCTGAGTTTTTTGTTTCATTTCAACTGAAAAATTTGCCTCTTGGGCTTGAAAACAAGCGGCTCTGGTTCTTGGAAGCTTCATCACACAGTGGGTGTAGACGCCCTCACGGACCCTCTGGGGACCTCGGAGAGGGCTTATCTGCCTTTGCAGAGGAAGAGGCCGCTCGAGGGAGGGAGTGGGGGTGCTGAGACCTCCGTCCAGGCAGTGGCACATCTGCCCCACGCCTGGGCCCTCTCTGCTAAAGCCAGGAGCCAGCTTGACCAGGTGCTCAGGCCCCGTGGAGCAGTGGGAAGTCCCCTGAGAGCTGAAACCCACCCCACTCCCCCGAGTCGGGCAGCCCGCAGGGAAGGTCCAGGTCTTGGGTAGAGGGCCTTAGTGGTCCTGGTGGAGCCACTGCGCAGCCAGGGCTGAGGACCCTGGACCTGAGGGAGCGTGACCCCAGATGGAGCAGGGTAAGGTGACAGCATCTCACGTAGACCAAGTACCACCACCTGCTGGGGGCGCAGCCAGAGGTGGGGACGGACCACGTCGTGCGTCACCACTGCCGTCAGCCTCGGATAGCACAGGCCGGGCTTCGGGCTCACCGCTGCTGTCCCCATGGCTGACTGATTCCTTTGGATCCCATCCTGGGGTCGCTGGACGCCCAGCCTCAGTGCAACGGAGGGACTGACCCGTGTCCATCTCCATGGAGTGACCAGTGACCAGCCAGACCACAGGGGACTGGGGAATGTGGGTCAGAAGAGTAAGGGGAGCCACACCGAGCAGGGCCTGGGAGGGATCGAGGGACAGAGGCCACCTCCCCTCTGCACCTTGATATCTGCCAAATGCAGATCAAGCCAGTCCTGGTCCAGCAGGGACAGGGCCTGTCCAGCAGACAGCAGTGGGCAAGGCTTGTAGTTGGTAGGTCCCTCCTGGTGGCGGGGGTGGTGTGGGAGGCTGAGACAGGAACAGACAGATGCAGTGATGCCCTGACTGCTCCTCAGCCCCTCCGTTCACGGGTGGCACAGAGTCACAGGGGCCGCAGCCCCTCCCCAGCACCCCCAGCACCCCCTCCCCACTCAGCGGCTCTGCCAAGACCGTCCCCTTTACGCCTCTCTGTCCTGTGAGTGTCTGGGAGCTGCTGTAACAAGTTACTACTAACAGGGTGACTTGGAACAACAGAAATTCACTGTTTCACTTTCTGGCGGCCAGAAGTCTAAACTCAAGGTGTCTCAGGGCCCAGCTGTCTCCGAGGCTCCCGGGTCGGCCCTTCCGGCCTCCCCAGCTCCTGGTGGCTCCGGGCATGTGGCCGCGGCCCCACCTTCCCCTGCCTCCCTCTGTGGTCATGCGGCCCCGCCTCTCTGTCACCGCTCCCTCTGCCTCCCTTCCCCAAGTCACTTGAGACAGCGTTTAGGGCCCAGCTGGCCAATCTAGGCGGGTTTCCCTGTCTCAAGACCCTTAACTCAATCCCATCTGCAGAGACTCCTTTTCTGAGTAAGCGCGTGTTCGTGAGCCCACAGGGCAGGGCTTGGGGTCTCTGGGGACACTTTCCACTGAGCATCTCTTATGGTTCAACTGGATTCCCGGGGCCTTATCGTGACTGAGGATGTCCCCGCAGGGCTGCTCACTCCCCTGTCCTCCACCAGGGAGGGCAGACACCCAGGCCACTCAGCGGCCACTTCCTGTGGGGCCCGAGGAGGGTAGTTAGCTCTGGCCACCACGGGAAGCCAGGCTCCTCCTGAAGCCTCCGGTGCGTCTCTCGGTGGCTGGACACCCCGGGGGGCGGGGACACGCTGGTTCCCGTGCCTGTGTGTGCCTTACTGCCCTCTGCCTCGTCTCTGGAAGACAAGTGAGCGTCTGCTACAGCCTTATTGTCACACAGGGTCCCTGACTTGGACCGGGGCTGTGTGTTTCCATCAAGGACTCTGGTTCCTGTCACCACAGGTGCGGCTCACCGCCTGACTGAGTTGCTCCATCTCTGTGTCCTCTACATCCCACCCCCTGCCGCCTTCAATTTGAGGCTCATTCCTTTGCCCCAGGGGCCTGTGTGACCAGACATCTACCGGCCGCAGGACGTCCACCTGCTGTGTGGTGACCAGCAGGAGGGAGCAAGAGCCAGGACCCTCCCTCTTTGGTCCCAAGGGAGCGGGGCCTGTGTCCTGTCCTTGGGGTGAGTTGGATCTCCCCTGCATCAAGACCGTGGGGGACACACGAATGGGGAAGCTCTAGGTGTGGACCAGGCCACAAGGGGCCCCGCACTGTGACAGGAGGGGCCGGGCTGCAGGGGCGGGGGGGTCACCTTGCTCCCAGTCACCCTGAACCGGGCTGACTGCCCACCACTGGCCTCTGCCAGTGGACTCCTGGGCTTCTGTGATCCTGGGGTGAATCCGTGTGTCCTTCCTTCCCGCGAGCCTCCTCTCCTGTTTGCTGGGACCCGGGGATCAGTGATGGGGACTGTGTGGGTCTGAGGTGGACGGTGGGCAGATGGCACACTGGGGAGTCTCTGGAGGAAAGGCGCCTGGGCCCCGCTCGGTTCCTGGGCTGACATGTTGGACCATTTCGTGGGCCACATCAGGCCCTGAGAGCCTGGTCTTTGCTCAGGGAGACCCCCCAGACCAGGACCCTGTGGCCGCCTTGGCGGGTGCTCCCAGGCCTGTGCGTCCCCACCTCCAGCCGTGGGAGCTAGTGGGGGGGCCGCCCCCTCCACTTCCAGAACAACAGCCGCGAGAGGGGAAGGCCATCTGGCTTCACAAAGGGCGGCTGAGGTGCCCTGGAAGCTGGGCCAATATCCCTGGGGGGGGGGGGGCCCTGACTGGGGTGGGGGAGGGGCAGCAAGGCGGCGTCCGTCCCCACCACGGGGGGCTGCAGCAGGGCCCCCGCGGGGCGAGCCGGGGTCCTGGGTGATGCTGGGCTGCTTTCTGCAGCCGTGACCCACCCTCACACAGCCCCGTCCTGTCTCCTCTATCCCAGCCGGAGGGCCCCCAACTGATAACCTCAGCCAGCCCTCCCCCCAACCTGGGGGCCAGGCCAAGCGGGGCACAGGGGGCAAGGGACCGACCCAGCTGTCTGACGGGAAGCAGGGGGACGGGAGGCGTCCGGGCCCTGGGTGTCCGGGGCCCCCGAGGACACGCGGGAGAGCCAGCTCACCTCGCCACTGGTGCACGGTTTCCTCTTCTGGCGAATCGGTTCCTCAGGGTTGCAGGAGGCGAGGTGTCTGGGAGAAAATGCTCGCTTCCCTGTCATGACAGAGCAGCAGCCGTGACAGGGAGCGTGATCATGCGAGTGTGGACAGACGGGTGGATGGTGACAGACAGATTACGGACGACAGGTGGGTGTCGGGAAGAGCTGGGGCTGGCGTCCAGGGCTCACAGGGGCGTTTCCAGGCCAGCACAGGCACCAGGACGCTGAAGCTCACTGACCGAGAGGCGAAGTCAGGGGGACAGAAGGGGAAATGAACACGTGTTTTCCAGAAGGAACACCCCCGTGCCCAGTGGAAATCCCAGGTCCATTTGAGGGGTCTGTCGAGGGGCTCTGGAGCAAGCTGGCCCAGGCCCTGACCCTGCTCTGTGGCCACTGGGGGTCCACAGCGTGTGGTTGTGTGACCCCCGGTGTCCTCACCTCCCCGGGGGCCGCTGGCCTGAGGGCCGACGTGTCCGAGGCTGTGCAGTCAGGTGGGCAGACGCCGGGCTGAGGGCAGAGGGAGGGCAGGTTTGGGTCTGTTGGGTCTGAGGGGATTGGGGAGGTGCGTGCGAGGACACAGGTCAGCAGGTGGGCGGACGGGCTCAGGGAAGGGACGCGGAGATGGGGTGGGGTCAGGGGCAAAGCCGAGGGGTCAACAGGTGTCCTGAGTGGGGAGGCCACAGCTCCCAGCCCTCTCGCTGCAGGAATCAGGGCAGACTCTGCGGCGGGCGGTGTGGGACTAAAGAGTGACCGGGACCCGGACGGCTCAGAGGCCAAGGAGCGGGCGGCAGTTCTCTCAGGGACGCTCTGCCAGTTTCTATGACCTGAGTGGCGGGGTCCCTCACCTGGCCCCTGGGAGGGCAGGGGTGGGTGGTCTGGGGGAGGACGTGGAAGATTTGGGTGGGGTCGGGGTCAGGCCCTCTCAGGGAGCCGGCGCTGTGAGCCCGGTGGGGGCTCAGACCGCAGCCCCACCGTCCTGCCCAGCTGCGGCCCGGAGGTCCCAGCAGCCTCCGTCCTCTGGTCCATGGTCCTGGGATGAAAATGGCCCGGGGTGCCCGGGACAGGCCCCAGGACGGTGCCCTCGAGCGGGGGTTGTCGGGGGCCCTTCCACATGGTGGGTTTAACTTTCCAGTAAGAGTCCAGCTCGGGTGATGCGTTTGTCGATGAGGACATTCCTCCTCCTCTGAGTCTTGAGGGAGGGATGGGAGCCGCCGGGGCTGCCGGAGCCTCTTTCTTCGGTGGACTTGGGCGTCTGCGCTCTCGGATGGGGAGCGGGGCGGGGTGGGGGCTCCCCTTTACCGCCTCCTTGGTGGGTAAAGGCCTTTGTGTGTTTCCTGGAATGTGACTTTTCCTTTGTAACAAAGCAAATGCTTCACTGTGTGTTTTCCTTTAACAGATAAACATTGGCTCCAGGCGATGTCAGAGAGAACACAACAATGAACCCAAGTGTGGTGATGAACGGGAGGAGAACAACCCCCCCCCCAGCAACTCCACAGCCCGTCGCAGGTGCGGCTTTCCGTGGAGGCCGCACATCCGGGCCTTCCGCGTCTCCACCGCGAGCCGCTCAGAACCTGGGCGGGTTTCCATGCTTCTGAGTGGAGCGTTCCCTCTGGCCTGGGGGGGCCCTGTCCCGACGCCCCTCACCTGCTGTTCCCCACCCGGAGGCCCCTACGCCCCAAGGAGGGGCCCTACCCTCACGGTGGCCCCGTGCGTGTTCCCTGTGCCTCATCCCAGGCTGGGCCCGGGGGTCCTGTCCTGAGGACGTGCCGCCCTCCTGGGGTCAGCAGATCTCCCCAGATTCCCCACCCAGGTCCGCCCCCTTTCCCAGAGATGGCTGATTGGAATTGGTGGCCGAGGAGCTGGGCCCCTCCTGAGGGGCAGGAGCCATCAGGGACA